CTTATGTTATCTTATTAGATGATCATGAATATCAAGGAACAATGAAGATAATTTGGGTGGACTTTATTACTGGAATGAAAAGATACAAATGATATATCTTGTAATTAAAATAAATAAGTAATCTAAAACGATATCAATAATGTCGTTGGCCTAGATCTAGGTGATATAAACCTTTGTATAAACCTAAGCCGTTTGATTAGATCTACATTTATTAACATTAATTATTTAATTGTATTTACTATTTAGCCATTTAGGTTGTAAATAATTCAATTTGAATTAAGCAGTTTGTAATTGGATAAGTTTAAACAGGTTGCGATTCGAAAACAGTTCGATTTTAACGGTTTAACGGGTTATGGCAGTTCTGTTTAGACGGTTAGCGGATTATAACGGTTCGGTTTATACGTGCGGTTTAAACGGTTTCGGTTCATAAACGGGTCGGTTTAAACGGTTAGCGGGTTACAAATGGTTCGGTTTAAACGGTTTTTTTTTCCGGTTTAAACGGTTTCGGTTTATAAACGGTTCGGGTCATTAACGGGTTTATAAACCATTCGGTTCGGTTTCGTTTCGGTTCGGATTTGCGCAGTTTGGTTTGTTATCGGTTTACGGTCCGTAACGGGTTGACATTGAGCGGTTCAATTCGGTTTCGGTTTGATATTGAACGGTTCAGTTCGGTTTTCGGTTTACATTTATCGGTTTATAAACGGATCGGTCCATGATGGTTCGGTTCGGTAACGGGCGGTTTCACGGTTCGGTTTGAAAAGTCCCACCCCTATATGGGGTACTATTTATAAAAAACCTAAATTGAGGAGAGAGAAAGTAATGTGATGTTTTAACAAAAAATAAATGGTTAATTGAGTAGCTTAAGAGGCAATGAAAAAGAGAAGGAACTTGGAAGGCAAAACATAGATGAAAGGGAAGTTTTTTTTTATTCAAGTCATTATCATGGGACAAGTATATATACATAGTACTCGTAGAACAGTGCTATGTGATGTTATGTTGTAGTCTAGGAGTTATTATATGAAACCTACAAGGCTATAATAATAACAATAATAATAATAATAATAATAATAATAATAATAATAATAATTATTATTATTATTATTATTATTATTATTATTATAATAATGATGATAATAATAGTAGTTGTATGTATTATTTTATGATAGTTCAAAAATATAGTAATATTTCCTATAATAATTAATATTGTTTTGAGATGAATCTATTGTTATTAAGATGAGTTCATCTATAATTAAACTTTATTTTTTAAATGTAGTTCTAGCACATTCAAATGTGACAATGTCTTGAGGCTTAAAATAAATAAATGATACTTTTTTAATTTAGTGTATTCGTTAACTTCACTCATTATGACATTTTAATATACTAGGGGAGTCTACGCTCGCGTTGTGCGCGACATAATCGATGTTTATGGTTGAGTTGTAATAGCTTGTCATGACACTCAAAACTTATTGGGTATGCTTTTGAACACATATACTAAGAAATAAATTGTTGATAATCATACCCTTGCATAGGTACAAAAATGTAACACTTGAAAATATATAAGCACTATTCACTTTTTAGTTGTAAGTTTCTTATGGTGTAATATGGCTTTTGTTGTGAGTTATAAAATACAATTATATAACATATCATCCGTCACTTTTAGTTGCAACAATTGAAAATATAAATACATTTTTTTATTTTTTTTTTAATAATTGATCTTTATATTATTGACTTTTTTGTTGGGCAAAATAGTCATGTGGGATCTTATTAGATTCATTTCGATTTATAAATATGTTTTAAATATTTAATCTTTAGATTATTTATATGTCTATAATTAGATAAACAAGAGATTGAAATTATGTATTGACAAGCGTGAAAGTTAAAATGTTACAACTAAAAATTTAACGGAAAAACTTAAAAAAAAATTCTAATTAGATGATTATCAGTGGGTTTGTGTGTGTGTGTGTGTGTGTGTTTGTTTGTTTGTTTTAAAGAAAATAGTAACAAAGTGGGTTATATCCAAACTATTCCCCCACCCTTTGAAGAGGATTATTTTCACGATAAATAGTTTTGCCATTAAATTCAACAATTTTCTCCTCCTCCTTCTCCTTTTCCTCTTCCTCTTCTTCATGTGGCTTAGCTCGGTAGGTGCTTTAATGGAGGGCTCCTTCGCTTTAATGGAGGAGAGAAAGAGAGTAGGGAAGTAAAGGAGGAAGGAGAGAGAAAGGGGGGTTTAAAAGAGAGGAAAAGGTTGGAAGTTGGAAGGGAATGAAGACTAAAGAAGCATAGAGAAATAAATACGGAAGCATAAGAGTTAATATGACATAAAAGGGTATATATATGGGTAAATAAACATTTTTAGGGGTAAAAAAGTCATCACACTATTCATAAGAGTTCTTTTGTACCTTTTATAAGGTAGGGTAAAAAATTCATCACACTATTCATAAGAGTTCTTTTGTACTTTTTATAAGGTAGGGATTAACCATCTCCCGTTTAAGAAATAGACACTAAATTATGAAGAAATGTGAAGAAACAAAATTGAGATAAAGGAAAACTAATATGTTATGTTTCTTGACTTATGGAAATTAGCACCTCCTTTTTGTGGAAAGCAAAGGTGGGCATATGTCGTTTCGTGTAAGTCGACATTTTGTGTTAACTAGTTTCACTAACAAACGTACTGTGCTTAGAACGAGCCAAGAAATAGGCGTATTGTGTCAGTCTCATACAAATCTTTAATTAATGAACGAAGCTCACACACAATCTAACCCATGTGTCACGCAAGCATTCCCTTTAATAATTATGATAATGATTTTCATGCACACCAATGCAAATCTTTAATAAACGAAGCACAATCATGACCCAACCCATGTGACAATCAAAGATATGCACACCAATATGTGAAATGACCCATCGTACTCATGCCAAATTTTGATAATGAAGTTCACGCACGATCCATGACCCACCGGCATGCCTCTTTTGTTGTGCAGACTTGTGATGAGCTCATGTTGTATTCGCCAAACTCATGCTCAACTCTTGTACAAAGTCAGATTGCACATTGTCATTGCTTTATGCCTCTATATAAAAGATTCACACACATAGCGCTATTGAAGGGGGGGGGGGGGGGAAGAGTTTTTGCAGTATTTCTTATCTAAATTTTACAAAAATATATAAAAAAAAGTTTTAAAAAAATATGAGGCAAATAAAAAACGCACTTTGAGACAAATATAGATTAGACAAATTAAAGCTAAATATTGCTAATTTATTTAGGCGAATAGGATGAATGAAAATAAATGAATTTTTTTTTCATAAAATAAAGGAAAATAAAAGAGAGATTCCATGAGTAGTAGAGAGAGAACTAATTTGAAGTGTCTTTCTCATAATATTGTTCAATCTTGAATAATAACCTTAGTTGTTAAGAGTTGGAAAATTTATTATACTCACTTAATTTTCAACTACATAGTTATTTTAAAGAAAAAAAAATTAATAAAATATAATATTAATTTTCCTAAATTAAACGAGACCAAATTAAATGAATAACTATATTTTGACTTATTTAAATTATGAAGTGCATGTACTCTGTAAACCTAATTTTTCTAATGGTATGGGTAATAATATAGCTCTAATACTCAAGATGGCTTAGCTAGATCAGGGTAATCCCAACCTTTTTGGAGGCCCTGTGCAAAAATATAATATAAAATTTGGCTTATGAATTTTCTCTACTCACTGTATGTTTTTTAATACAAGAAACAAAATCGTTGTTCTTCACAAATACAGAATATATAAAGTTTGTAATTATAAAAAATGAAATATTTGTAAATAGAGTTTAGTCATTTATTATATATGGCAGAAAAAGAAATGCATTAATGGTTTTGGAAATAGTAAACATTAAATAAGCATAGGCATTAAAAAACTCTTGTGAGAATTGAACCAAGGACCTCTTGCAAGTGAAGATGGTAGAGCTCATGAAACCACTAAGCCATTATTAATACACATGAATAATTTTACAACATATATTACTTATACATTTTTAATGATTTGAGGCCCCAACCAAAGCTGGGCCCTGTGCGGCAGCTCATGATGCACACCCTAATGGCCGGCCATGAGCTAGATCAATATTTAAAGTATCAACTTATAATATTTGCTAGATCAATCTGTGGGTAGAAAGAGTCACATTGAGCTCTATGAGCAGTGTTACTATTGTAGACAAATTTTGGCCTTATGTTTTAGGTATTATAATTAAATCAATACTTGTGTATGACATCCATAACTTAATTTACCATTTGATGAGGAAAGAAAGAAAATCAATTTTATTTTTCCATCAAATATTACTACCATTGTCTTAGGTTTTTTTTTTTTTTTTTCCTCAAGATGTGTGTTTATAAGTTTGTGGTGGATTATTACCTGTCTCACTCTATACGCTCTCTATCTTTAATCTCATCAAAAACTAATTAATTGCCTTTTTTGAGTTAAAGACAACACTTTAAATAACTGTTATTTATTTTCTCATTATATCATGTCATTCTCTGTTTTGATTTTTTTTTTCCTTTTCATTTATCTCTACCACGATTAAATTTCTAATAAAAATCTTTTAATTTTTGTAACATTTACTTTTTCTTTTTTTGTAAGAGAAAAATCCATGCCAAATTGGCTTTTGAAGAAAATCAAACTTTATCTCTTCAATTTCCTCTTCTACTTTCTCACACTTCAAACCATGGTTTCATAAAATATCTCCTTTTATATTGGGGTGATTATCTTCTTCCTTTTTTTTTTTTTTTCAATTCATTCCCAATCTGTTGTTGTCAAATTTCATTTTTTTCATATTAGGTTTACTCCACATTTAACTGAGATACTATTCAATATTGCTTCTAGCTCCATAATGTAAATCAATCTCTACATTCGTTAAGTTTTTTTTGTCTTTTGAAACATTCAAAAAAAAAAAAAAAGAAATAACCATGTTATTTTTTTACCTACATTACCATTCAAGTTGTATATCACTGATAACAAAGTAAATAATGGTCAAAATCATGCCATAAAATAAGACGACCCAACCAAAAGCAAATCCATAAACCATCTTCCTTCTCAAACCCTAATCCTAATCCTAAGTACTTTATGAGCAAACTTTATAATCAATAATTACTCGAGAAATAAATGCAAAAAATTCAAAAAAAGAAAATAAAAATTGAGACCTATCACGTGCAAACCGTTCTTATGCATCTTTCCCACTACCCTCATCATTCACACAGTATCCCACTCTCTCTCCTCTTTCTCTCTCTTCTCCCTTATTCTTCGAAAGTGGGCCTTTTTCTTAATCTTAATCTTAAGCTCAAAAATGCTTCATTTCTCTCGTTGTCAATAATTTTATTTACCAGAATTACTTAGTTGTCTTCTTTCTCATGATTTACTCCTAATTTCTTCCAAGTTATCTGTCATTTTAGTTTGCCAACTTTGGTGGGTTCCAACTTCCCACAAATTACTCTTCCATTTTGTTTTTTTTGTTTTTTCTAATTTTAATTTGTAATTTTAACTGTTTTATTCATGTTATTGGAGTATATTGCACCCTTTTCATTATATACTAATATGTTTAGCAATTCTTGCTTAATTTTTGTAATTTGGTTGATGGGATTTGTTGAATTTGATCTGGGTTTCTTCCCATGTGATGATTACATGTGGGGTTTGGTTTACAGCTTAGTAACTTCTGGAAGTAGTGAACTGCCAAAAAGAGCAGAATTATTATAGTTTACAGTACTTACTGAAAAATAGAAAATATAAGTTTTATTTTCAGAAAGGTTTAAATCATTACACAAGAAAGAAACATTATCACATGGGGTATGGCCTTAGATTTGATCTTCATCTTATTATAAATTATTTTACTGTTTTTTTTTTCTTACATAAAATTATTTTTGTCTTCATATGAGTGATCTTGTTGATTCACAATAATAATTGGAGTGTTAGTCATACTTCTAGTCTAGCAATATTGGTTGCTTAATCTTTTCAATTGGGGTTTTTTGTAGGTCATAATTTGATAAGATCTTGCAGAAATCTATGGGTGAATCATTAGTTGAGGCTCCAAAAGTTGATACCAAGGTAACCCCATTAATTCCTTTCCTCTTTTTATGGTAACCCCTTTTTGTGTTTTTATGTAACTTTTATGATTTCTTTTTTCTTTGATATTATTTGGATTTTGTCTATCTTTTAGGATTCTGAATTAATATATGGTTTTGGTATCAATGTTGATTGCTTATGATAATTATGATTATTTTTATAATATGTTGGTTAGCTAAATTGGGGGGAAGTGGTAAGTTATTAGCATTTTGTTTGTTGTTAATGATTTTGTTTATTAGTGGTTTTTAAGGAAAGAGAAGTTTTGTTGTTTTTGTGTATATTAATACAGATGGGTGAGTCTTTTGCACTCCCATGTCTTCAAGAATCAGTGTCATTTGGTAGATTTGAGCATGATTCTCTTTGTTGGGAGAGATGGTCTACTTTCCCAACAAACAAGTACTTGGAGGAAGTTGAGAAATGTTCTACACCTGGATCGGTTGCGCAAAAGAAGGCGTATTTCGAGGCTCATTATAAGAGGATTGCTGCTCGGAAAGCTGAGTTATTGGATCAGGAAAGAAAGAGAGAGGAAGAGGAATGTGCGAATTTGGGAGATCGGAGTCCAGTGGGTTTGACGTGTAACACCAGTGAGGAAGAGTTTGATGTTGAGAAATCAAGTACTCAGAACTCTGTTGATGGAACTGAGGTGCCATGTGAAGTTGGTGAATCCACTGATGAAGTGAGTGTTAAGCATATTGATATTATAGGCTATGGTGCTGATATCATAATTGAAGAAGATGGAGTTGCAGATCTCAATAGTGAGGTGAGTGAGTATAGTGATGAAGTGAGTGATCATGTTGATGTAGATGAATTAAATGAAGAGGCAGATATCATGGTTGAACAGAGAGAGCATATTGATGCACTGAGTGACCATTTTGATTTCACTGATGAAGTGGCAGATATCATGGTTGAACAGAGTGAGCATATTGATGAACCCAATGACGAGGCTGGTGTGGCCGAAGAAAAGAAGGATATACAGCCTGAGCATTTTGAGGAGGAGATTAATGGTGCTAATATGATCAAAGAAAAGAAGGATATACAGCCAAATGATACTGATGGGACTGATGTGGCTGAAGAAAAGAGAGATTTATTGCCAGAGCTTATTATTGACTCTAACAGTGGCACTAATATGATCAAAGAAAACAAAGATATACAGACCCAGCTGGTGGATGTGAATGAAGATTCATGTCTTAAAGTGGAGATTTCTCATATAGAGAAACCAGATGAACCTGTTTTGGTGAAAGAAGATACCGCTTCAGCACGAGTGTGGCATGATAAGGAGGTATTGCCTCAAGAAAAGGTTGTAGAACGAAAAGTTGCAGAGAAAGGAGCCAAAAACCCAGTAAAATTGGTTGATCCAATGAAAACGAAGAAGGTATTGTTCTTATCCTAGTCTATTTTGTCTTCTTTTTGTGATTGTTAGACAGCTTTTCATGTTCCTTGAATTTTATGTTTGACAACTTTGGTGAAGATGACAACTGATACCACAAATTCTAAGAAAAAACCTGCATCACCAATCCCCGCAACTTTAGTGAAGAAGACAACTGATAAAACTAGTTCTAAGAAAAAACCAGCATCACCAATCCCCGCAACTTTGGTGAAGAAGACAACTGCTACAACAAATTCTAAGAAAGCACCTGCATCTCCAATCCCAAAAAAACCTGCTGCATCAATGCCAAAGTCACCAATGATGTCTACTCCTAAGTCATTGAAGCCTGAGTTGACAAAAACTGCTAAGTCTACCACAAGGCCATCAGTTCAGAAGGAAAATGGTTGCACTCCGCTGTCAAGCAAGAAAGCAACTAGACCTGAAAGCAAGAGAGTACTGCCTACATCCTTGCACATGTCTTTCAGTTTAGGACCAGCTCATTCTGATTCAGCATCACTTACACCAATGAGAAATTCGTTGATCATGGAGAGGATGGGTGATAAAGATATTGTAAAACGAGCATTTAGGGCCTTTCGAAATGTCAGTCAACTTTCACCGCCTAGTTTAGTGAAACCGACTACACCAAATCAGGTAATTTTTTTTTCTTTAATGATTACTTTTTAAAAGTAATATGAATTTTACATGAGTTTAGTTATGATGTCTATGGGTGGTGGGAGGTTACTGCACATTATATTTTACCACTGAGCTTACATTGTAAAGTTTAATCTTTGCAGTCTGCAACCAAAAATATTGAAGTGAAGGTTACTACGCCTGATAATGTTCAAAAGAAAAAGGAAGGGTAATGTCTTTATGTTTTATGCCCACCATATGACATTCTTTTATGCTTTTAAATGTGTTTTATGCCCACCATATGACATTCTTTTATGCTTTTAAATGTTGCTAGCTATGTACTTGCCCAGTAAGTGCTGGATTGTTCAGCTTCAATGATCTTTAATCAGAAAAATGACTTTTTTAAACAAAAATTATTTCTCATGAATGCCAGGATCTCCAGGACAGGGAAGGCAACAAATCTAATTACTGTTCCACAAGGAACAAAAAAGACATCACAATTGCCTGGGTAAGCTTGACTTAATGGCTCTTTGTTTGCATGCTTAGTCTTGCTAATTTGAATAGATAATGCTTATACGAAGTGATTAAGAACTTGAAATGAAAAGGGCATGCTGAAGCTAAACTTTAAGATATGATTTGATGAGAATGTTTTGGAAATAATTGGTTGATTGCTGGATAACAGATAATTGCTTTTCATGAAAAAAATAATATATTATGATCTTGATGAAACTTTTAATATTAAATAATTAAGGTCTATCAAGACGCCTCTATAGAAGGGGAAGATTTCATGTATTGATAATCCAACTAGATCATGAATACATTTTTTGGGACAGAAATAGTAATTAGGAACTTATATAGAATAACCTAAGCTTATCAAAAGAAAGTCAGCAGTCTGTAATTCCTACATTGCTTTTCCAACTGAGTGAAAATTGTCTGTGAACATGGTATCTGGGCTGCCTCACCTCACATAGACTTTCAGCTGTGACACCCTTTTCTTTTCTTCCTTTCCCAATCTATCTTTACTCTGCTTTGCCACCCCAGGGAGGGGCAAGCATTGCGTTGGAGAAAGATTACTGTGCTCTGATTAGGTGTTTTGCCTTTATTTACTATCTATTCTGAGAAACAGTTTCCTATACTAATTTCTTATTTGACCTTTGAATTCCAAGAAATCTGAATATTCATTATGTTTCCAAACTTTCCATAATAGAATAAAGAAGAACGTTGGTGTGGATCAAAGAAATGGTAAAGCTGTACCTGCTTTTGGCTCAAAAAGTCTAAATCAGGGAAGACAACAGAGAGAGGTATTTTCTCTGGAAAACCCATTTATACTTTAATGAAACTGTAAGTTCATATGTTTGGAATTCTAAGCTTGTTTTATTACCTTGATAGCTCACATGTTTAATTGCAATTTCTTATCCAGGTTTCGAAGAAGCTAGAACCAAAAACCAACATAAAAGATTCTGGAAACACCGATCTTCTGTCCAAATTGAAGGTGTGCATCCTTAGAGCTTGTTAAATATATGTTTCGTCATCCATAATCTTAAATTTCATAAAATTTGTATTTATGTTGAATATAATACAGTGATTAATTGTGGACCAGCTGACATCTTTTTGGCTGTAATTTTCTCTTGCTGTTCTTGTAAAAAATCTGTGTGAAACTTTTAGCTATGTACGTGCATCTCTTATGTATTGTAATTAATCATTGAGAAGGCTAAACAAGCAATTGAGTTATACTTGTATCTGATATTGCTTTTAGCTATCTCTCGCTGTAATTTTATTGTTAAACTCTTTTTTTCATATTGGATCTACACTGTAACTGATATTATAGAACAGTACTTAAGTTTCGTACTTGGTACAGGCAGAGAAAGCAACAGATTTTAGGAAATCAACTCCCGGCATTGATTCTAAGCCCAAGCTATCATCAAGCTACAATCAAGGACATGGATTCTTGAGAGGTTCTGCTCGTAAGGTAAGCTCATAAAAACTCTCTCATTAAAGATGATAGTATTTTATAATAATGGATGTTTTACATGCAATATAGTCAATTACACACCACACGAGACAACTTTCTTGTCTATTAGCCTGAGTTGCTCGTGTCTGATGTGGGATGTATAGTAAAAATGATTTACTTTAGTTCTTTACAATGGTTTTTCATCAAGCAAACAAATGATTGTTTTTTCGTGTGACCTTGTGAGAGGACTGGAAGTAGTTAATTTGGAAGACTGTCCGTCATTCAGAAAGTGCAATACATATTATAAATCATTTTTGGGAAGGAAAAGGGGGATTTAAAGAGTGCATTGGTCATGAAATATGACATGCAACCTCTAAACACTACTTTCTGAAAAGAAATAATAATTAAAAGGACTTAGTGGATATATTTTGGACATGACATTCCCAAAAGTTTGGGTTGATCTTAAACAAAATTTTGTCCCCACCACCCCAACCCCCTTCTTTTCCAATGGAAAAGTGAAGCCAAAAGGTGAAAAAATAAAGAATACTAGAGGATTAGAGACAAATTTGAGCTAATATTAGCTTCCTACAGAGGAGAAAGTTGGGAGAAAAATTGGCTGCTCTACTTTTGACAGCCGTTCGTACAAGGGTGTTTTGTCATTATATAACAGAGTTGTTTTCATATTAGTGGTTGAGATTAGATTTAACAAAGTAATGGGTCATTGAGGATTAGGTCCAAGTTTTTAAATTATGGGCGGTAGGGGTGTGGCCAACCCAATCCATAATCCATGACCAATTAAGAAGGTATCTACACCAGAAGAGCATATTAGGCTGTCTTATGAGAGACGGATCTGCTGAGGTCCATATCATTGGGAACCCACTTATACAGGTCGGAAGGGCCTAATAGCCTCTAATATGGGAACTGAATGGTTGAACCTGTGACCGTATAATATGATATCAAACTTATGCATGAATGACAGACTTAGCAGATACTTGAGCTTAACAAACCGAGTATTTATCTTCTGCTTATTGGTTGATATTTCATTATAAAGTAATGTTTCCTTCCTAATTCACGCAGGTAGATGCCAGGGTATAAGCTTCCGGTTAATCGAGATGAGTAGGTTTTCACCGGACAAACACAGTGAAACTGTCAGCACGTGACATGGTGACTGTAATTAAGCAGATTGTTTTTGTAAACGCAGTTCAGCCGTTCAGGAGTCAGGACAAGTCTCAAACTATTAATAGTCAAAGTGGCGTATCACACAGAAGTTAATCATCATTTTGGTGCGGAGTAAATAGGTCTATCATTGAGAAAGCTAGATGTATAAAGGAGCAGTTACATAGTTATAACTAATAAGTTAAAGTTTTATGTGGCCTGAAAAGTACAAGGGCGAAAAATGTACATCTGAATTATTCAATTTCAAGATATAAATATAGGATTGTTCTTATATTCCAAATATTATGGGTCCATCAATAATGTTTTATTGTATCCTTGAATCTATAATTAAATTTGTTGTATCCACCACCCTTGTTTGGTATGATGTTGGCCTATAATATGCATTGTTATTAAGTTGTTTGTCTGTCTGTCACATCTTTGGAAAGAAATGCATGGGATTTTCTCATCTTATCTTCAATCCACAACTTCTTGAAATTTTGAGTGGATATTGATTAGCAATAGCTTAGTTGTTAGACTGTATACAACGTAGTATTATTATATAGTTGATGGAGTGTGTTGTGGCACGTCTATGATTTGAAATAGATCTTGAACATTATCTAATGATTATTTTTAAATAAAAGTATGTCACAACTCACAAGTAATGATAGTAATGAAAATCTTAGGAAGTACTCTTTTTGTTGGTTACATTTAAAATCTCTACTTTAAAGAGAGAAGCTTTAACAATGTAGTATAAAATAGTTATTAATTTGTTATATATAATAAACATAAAAAAAAAATAAAAGGGTAAATTATGAGAAGGGCTCCCACCCTGTGAACAGGAATGGGGGATATGAGGAATCGAACCCCATCACTTGGGGGGAATCCTTCTATCTACTCATTCCACGTGTAAACTTTTATTAGATACACTTGATGTGTGCCATTAAAAATGTATTTTATGCCGTATTTTGAATATGCAGTTGAAAATGGTGTAATATGGCATATATAACTAACTAAGACGAATAGAGTATATATCAAGTGATTTGTGTGAAGGATATCATTCACGAATCAAGATTATGCCCAGGAATTGCACATTCGAGGTCAATCTAACACAAACTATAAGCACAAATTCAAAGTAAAAAGAAATTCATTATTGTCATTGTTTTGGGGCAAATGGACTTGTTTCATTTCCAGTTACAAACTTACAATTGATTAGACCTATTTCAGTTCAGTTCCGTTGAAATTCAGTTCAGTTCAGTTCAGTTCAGTTCAGCTCAGCTCTTAATTTATGTCTAATGATATTGCTAATGATATAAAGCCAAATTTCATTCTTTTAAGATCTTATTACAACGACAACAACAACAAAAATAATAATAATAAATAGTATATAAAAATAATAATAATAATAATAATAATAATAATAATAATAATAATAATAATAATAATTATAATAATAACAATAATAATTGAAATAATAATAATAATACTAACAATAATAATCAATAAATAATAATAATCATCAATAAATAATAATAATAATAATAACAACAACAATAATAATAATAATAATAATACTATAATAATACTAATAATAATAATCAATAAATAATAATAATAATAATTATCAATAATTAATAATAATAATAATAACAATGATAATATTGATACAATTCATTGTTCAAATGATTCTATTTTTTTGAAACATATTTCTAATGTTAATCTCATTGAGAAAATTAGAGGTTTCAAGTTTTTAATATATTTTCCATACATTTTATAATATATTTTCCATACATTTTATAATTATAATTATATAGTATATTTTTCGTAAATATTTTAATATGTACATTTGTATATACACATATGTATAGTAATAAATATCAATAAATAATCAAAGATCACTAATCCGTAGTTAAAAATCACTAATTAATAAGTTCAGTTCAGCTCGGTTCAGTTCAGCTGAGTTCAGTCAATCGGAACAGGCCCTAAGGTATATAGTACTCGTACAAATTATCTTGATTTTTTTTTTTTTTTTTTTTTTTTTTTTAAAGAACAAATTTAGAGCAATCATTAAATATACATATCCAAATATACTGAAAATAGAGTATATGAATATCCTAAAATAAGAAGTGTTTCAACTAATAAAATGAAAAGAGTAATGATTAAAAAAAGAAAAAAAAAACGTTTAGAATAGGTTTGAGTGTTAACTCGATAAGTATTTAATCCAAAATGAATAAATGATGGATAAAAAAAAAATGTCATAGTTGAGTGTAGCGACAACCACACTTGATGTTCCTTGAAACCCGTAAAAGTACAATACATTTCATAAGTTGGATCTGATCATCTGACTACCATAAGTCCATAATATGACGATACGTAACCTTTGTACCTCGTAATATCATAATTCATATTATAATCGTAGTATAATTACTAAGCATACGATAACTAAACTTCAAAAACAAAGAGAAATCCTTTATCAAAGCATAGATTTTCAAGTTAAAGATTTCTATAATTGATTCGGTTTTTCTTACCGCATAATAATGGTTTCAGTGTACAACTTTGAGCTTACCCATGAAGAAGGAACCAAATTGATTCTAATTATGCTAAGCTAATGGCCCTCAAAAGATATCAAGCTAAGCAATAAGCCTAAAAGTGATCAAATCAAATTCTGCAAACAAGAGTCTTGATCTTTAGATGGTAATTGATATTCCAGTTTGATGTTTAGGGGGAATACAACAGTTAACATTAATCACCTTGCTTCCAAGCCTAAAAGTGTTCCATTCAACTATAGTATAAACCAAACGTCCACTCTGAGAAGCGAAATCATCAAGTTGCTATGGAGCACGTCTTAATTTTCAGACAAACATGAAAGAGAAGCTAGATTTAAAGGCCACATATAACTATTCTATCTGCCAAAAACTCTCAATCATCTTCTCTTTCAGGAGGAAGGCCACAAGGCAACAGCATTTTCTGCAAGAAAACATACAACATTTTCATGAGAGAAAAGTGATAGCAATATGTAAAGCAAAAGAGGATGCAATAGAAGGGTTAGTAGAATATCCGGGGTCTTGGTTCCATTAACAAATTTTTCACAAATAGACCATCAGCAGACCGCAGTGACATTACAATCTAGGGAAACTCAAGTTAAATTGTTTGGTACTTTTTGGGAAGTCCTACGTCCTATGAAGGATATAGAAGAAAAAAAAAAAGGCCAAGACCTTGGTGGCTTGGTGTAAAGCCCAATCGAATTTACTTCACAAATAGACTATCAACAGACTGCAACGACATTAGTGACTGTAGGGTAATCTCAAGTCAAATTTTTGGTTACTTTATAAGAAGTAGAGATGAAGCTTACATAACTAACACAAGAGAACAAAAATAGATGACTGCACACACAAACCTGCATGAAGTTGTAGCGCTCTCTTCCAATAGATTCATTTTCTGCGACAGCAAAGTAGGCAAGCATAGGATAATGCCCAACATAGGAAGCATAGCTATCACGTTGGATGTTAACAGCCCATTCACTGTTCAGTTCAATAGGAAAAGAGATTAGAAACAAGTAACCAACAGGCAATCAGGCATCATGCTACAAAGGTGTCAAGGATCCAAAGATCAAGCAGAAGTAAAGCTTACAATCTGTTCAGATCTGCATGTCCAGTCCCAACATATTTTGCTTGAAGATGCTCAAGTTGGGAATTGATGTTGAATCTATCACTGGCCTACAAGACAAGAATAATATCAACACTTTGAACCAAATAAAGCAGAGTAGGAATTCAACTTTTAATATATTATACACCTGAAGCTCATCAATATACGTATGTTTGGAGCATCACCCCTCGACAAAGAGTTTATAATTAATTTATTTTTCTACCTTTTTGCTATCACTTCAAAAAAATATCAGAAAAAATAGGCCAGTCACTTATCTGTGCAGAAATGAATCTATTATGGTAAACTGCAGTTGAGTTCAACAGACTATAAGAGGATAGTATGCATTAGTATCCCCTAAATTCTCATTATGGGCTAAGTTTCCTTACACAACGATTCTCATTGATAAAGCAAGGGATGGAGATCACTGAGGAGGAAAAATTACCAACTTAGCCTTCCACTTGCACAAATTCAGTAGCTTAACAATGACGAAAACCAAATAGCCAACTGGTTTCATAAGTTCCTACTAAAGCTTCACATCAGCACACAAATGCTGAGCTTTGTGCTGTGTCAATAAAATTAATGCTCGATTTTTGTAAAATCCTATCTTACTGCAGTACTAAATACTCAAATTCCAGCTATTCAAATAAAAAAATACTCAAATTCCAAACAGGGTCCTATTTTCTTGCAGATTCAAATACGCTCCACATATATCCAAAAATATTAAGGTGTAATGCCTACAAGTGATGTAATCTTCAACCTTATTCGTTACCAAACTCAAGATCCATGAATGCCATCAAGCTCAAAGGGCATTACCTTGATAAGTTATCACCAGATCAACTACATTACCATGGTGCTCCATCCTAGGGGCAACACCATATTCTAGGGCGAAAAATCTAAAAAATTCAATTTCAAATCTTAAACCTTGCAAGAGAACAACCTATGAGAACAGAAACATAAGTCTCCTAGTTTGGCCAAAATATCTCATGCATTATCCTTTCGATAAACATTTAGAGTTATCTGCTCCTCAACATTCAAAACTAACGAGAAACTAAAACATACGTGATGCATGACTGCATTCCTTCTTGGTATCTACTTGGTAGAACACTCCTATAGAACTAGCCAAACAATCTAACTTATTTTGAGATCAGTGTAGTCTCAATGATAGCAGACAACACAATTTCATTCTTAATAAGAAACCTTTTCAATTGCTGCTTCCCTAGACACAAAGCTCTTCCTATACCTAATGACACCAATGTGTATAAAAAAAGCTCTATGCATACTAAAGCGAGAGGGGTTCTGCAGCGCCTAAGACGCGCCACAGTGCACCTCTTTGAAGTGAGGCGCACTATATGAACAATTAAAAAATTTTGGCTGAAGTTTGCTTCATGTGCGCCTCATGCGCTTTTGGTGCACCTCAAGTGCTTTTGGTGCACCTCATGCGCCTAACCACAAAAACCTAGCCCAGACCAAGTTAAGCATTTACCCCCTAGCGCCTTGAGCCTCATAGACTAGGCGGCTCAAGGCGTGCCTTAGGTGCGCTTTTTCAAACAGGCCTAAATCTGTTGATAAAACTATTCGAAGAGAAAACATCAGGATTTGGCATAAGTTCAAATAGCAATATAGTGGAACCATGTCCATTACAAGCAATAAGATTGACCATTGCCTTGGGAGTTGGGAAAGACGTATAAATGTTAATAAATGAAGTTCGCGCAGTGGGCCTCGAGCCCAACACAATGTTTAATAACATATGAGTGAAGGTACTTTCTCAAACAGGCAGCCCTGGATGATGCGTAAGAGATGCAAGAATTGAAAGTGAAGTTGTTAGGCAATGAGCAAGCAAGAATAGTAGCACATGGTCAGACCAATATTGAGATAGCAGTTTATCAAAGCATTGAAGTTAAAGTGAACTAATCCATTTGAGTTCAGAAGTGAAGGCAGTGAAGCAGTAATCGTGGTGAAAGTAGTAACAAGGTACTCATTTGGCCATTAGTGACACAGCTAGAACTCGATTAATTTAGTCAATGCTTGACAAACTAGCAACAACAAAGCCTTAGTCCGAAAATGACAAACTAACAGAGAAATTAATACTTCGTGTAAGATACTCCAAGGCGTGTGGCAATACCACCACTTCCGTGAAACTAAACCATTTATCAACCAACGATCCACCCTCCACGTAAAATACCACATAGAATGCACACGTAATGTGGCATAGTCCAACACAACTAACACATGTTTCATTCGATATAATTAAGCTGGAAGGTAGCCTATCAATTACAAACTGTCCCCTTTTCGGCTTTACATTCAAACACCGAGTCACCTTCGCCAAGAGTACTAATTTAACTCAAACGTCGTCCTCTAATTTACCCGCCAAACAGTTTAACTATACACTATCCTTACTAGTTACAGTATACATTAATACTAACCCGCCTTCCTAACAAAGCACACAAAATTCCATAGATAAAAATACATTAAATTGGTATAAACAAAAGTAATGGAACACAAATTCAAGCATAATTATGGTTCAACAAAGAGCATAAACCACAAAAAAAAAAAAAAAAAAAATAAATAAATAAAGGGGGGGGGGGTAATTACTCAGAATTAGGGTTTTGTGACATGAAAATTTCCGTCGGTTATGTATTAAATTAGATCGATTAATTTAGACAATTAAACGCAGAAAAAAGATAATTTCGAAACTCAATAAGATAATCAACGGGTTTGAAGAAGGAGATTACAGAGTGAATACATACCTGCATCTTGAGGAATTTCCAGAAAAGTGTCATACACAGTGTTTTCAAAACCGAGTCCTTTTTATGTACGGATTACGTATTTTCCCAGAAAAGTTGTTAGCAATGACTACAAATGGGTTGGGCCGCAGCCCGCATTGGAGTACAGGGCAGACTTGTGGGCCGAGCTTTAAAGTGACCCTTGAAAGTTTTCCAAATTAGCCAGCCCAAAATTATTGCAATTTTTTTTTTTCATCAACTTAGATTTTTTTTTTATTTTTTTTATTTTATATTTTTTTTAAGCAAAGGATGCATAAATTTAGTTAATAGTCATATTACAAGGAGTTCCAGCTGGGACATCACCAGCGAGATTAACAACAGAGTTCTCACTACAAAGAGTTAAGTCTCTAACAAAAGCATCATTACAGATCAGAGGTGGTTCGTTCAAAATACTAATTTCATTCATGATCTCTAAGTGGCATCTTGTATCCTTTGCTAGAGCATCTGCTACTACATTACTGTCCTTCGATTCAAAGCGCATATCCAGATGGAGCTCCGTTCGTAGGTCCCTGCATTTAGTGATTAAAGAAGGAGCATTATGTACAACATCATCCAGGATTATTTCATCTATAGCCCTTTTTGCATCGGAGCAAAGAATGACATTAATCCATCCTTTATCCCGAATTAAATTCATTGCAATTTCCATGAATTTCAACTCAGCATCGTGGCTAGAGGGTAAGTACCCTTTCTAGACAAGACCTTCCACCCAATCACCTGAGCTATTCCTACACACCTCAGCACATCCTGCTTCATTTTTTGGTGTCTATGAACGATGCATCACAGTTTACTTTAATGAAATTAAGAGGGGGATGAGACTAGGTTGGAGGGATGGGCTTTAGGCTTTCGGAGTTTGGCTTTGAGAAGTAAAACTCCGAAGCAGCCCAAATACACTGGTGGAATGATGAAGATAAGGGGATGTTGATGTTGGAAAAGGACAAAGAATTTCTTCTTAGCCAAAGGTGCCATACAACAAAGCAGAAGACCACGTTCCAAGGTATGGACCACATGGACATATTTGACACACTCGGGTTTTTGGTGAGCCATGAAACCAAACTATCACAGTCATGCAAGGGAGTCAGACATGGGATGTGCTCCCATAATTTCCTTGCTTTTGTGCAATGAATGAATAAATATGTTCACTGGTTTCATCTTTCAAGGGGCATAAAGTGCAGGAAGGGATATAATTTAGTCTATGATGGAGATTCTTCTTATTGGGGATTCGATTCCAAGCTAGAAGCCAGAGACAATATTTAATTTTTGGGTGGGTGTTTGCTTTCCAAGTTAGATCCCAATTGAACCATGTGGATGACATACCACTGGTCTGAAGAGCTAATTTTGTCTTCATTGAGTCGAATTTTCCTTTATATGACCAACTTGAGAAGTGGGAATCAGGATTATTGGTAAAGGGGGTGGAGTGAATGAGATCAAATAGATGATCATAAATTTGGAAAGAGAGGAGATGTTCAAGTTGTTGTTTGGGTACATTTGTGATGGCAGAAAAGGTGTAAGGCGAAGCTTGCTGATGAATTGGACCAAAGAGAAAGTCCCTTAGAGACATGTTTACCAACCACATGTCTTCCATAAACTAAGAGCAGTACCATCCCCACCTCCCATACTAGACTTTTCTGAAACATTGGCCAAGCCCTGCACACTCCTTTTTACGATCCTTTTTTTAAGGGAGTGGGATTTATTTTATTGTCAATGTAAATATCACTAAGCAATTGTGCAACCCATCCTTTGTTATTGTAGATAGACCAACATAATTTTTCAAGAGAGATTAAATTGAGGTGGTCATGTTTCATGAACCCCAGGCCTCCCTGATCTTTAGGTTTGCGAACCTTTTCCCAAGAAATCCAAGTTATTTTCTTAGACTCATTAGTGCTCCCCCAAAGGAAATTAGAGCATATTGAGTCTAACTTATTACAGATATATTTGGGGATCAACAAGGTTTGCATAAAGTACCTTGGAATGGATTGTAAAGTGGATTGAATGAGTATTTTTCTTCATGCTTTTGTGAGAGTTTTACTCTTCCAAGAAGCAAGTTTGGCTCCTACTTTATCCACTAAGAATCGTAAGCTCCGTTTACTTGATTTTTTGGATGAAAGAAGGAGGCCGAGGTACTTTCCTAGATCTGAGGTGGTTGTGATGTTAAGCTCTTGCTCAAACTCATCAATCATGGATTGAGGAGTATTGTTTGAGAACAAAATGGAGCTTATTTGGTCATTCATTCTCTAACCAGACATATTGGAAAAATTAGTGAGAGTTTTAGACAGGGAGTGAAGGGTCTTCTTGTTAGTTTGACTAAACAGAAGAACATAGTCTGCGAATAGGAGGTGTGAGATGGCAATCTTCCCCCCTCTAAATTAGAACGAGCTCCCTTTCTTTGTGGGTCATCCTTGAAAAATACTCCATACATATAATGAATAATTATGGGGAAAAGAGGTCTCCTTGACGTAATCCTCTAGAAGGAGTGAAGGATTGAGAGAGATGTCCATTATTCATAAGGATGGAGGAGATGACCGTTGTAATCCAACTCATGATGAGATCAATTGTGTCAAGAGAGAAGTTAAAGAAAAGGAGGCAATGACGATTGAAGGTGTTAGAGTTTATAGGTACTGCGCAGCGGAAATAACATGAATCATATTCAATCAAGTACCAATCCCAAGATCATATGCATAACACATAATCATACCTTTGACGCGTGAATTCCACGAAGCTATTCGACAGGCAAATCAGGGAGAGAATAGAGCCCCAAGCGTTGCTCCTCTACTTAGTCAACGAGATTCGAATGAGCCGTCCACCAATACTAGATTGGTCGAGTGATTGAGGAAAACCGCGATCACCACCTTTACGGACAACCGACCACCGCACGAACCACCACCACCATGAGACACCACCGGCGCCGAGGAGGAGGAGAGAGCCGTGTGAGAGAGGACTATGAGAGGGGTTGGGTTTCGTGTTTTCTAATTAGGATTTGATCACTCTAATCAGTTAATTGCTTACTTGCAAACCTAGGCACCTAGTCTATTTATAATCCTATTATAATTAGACTATGGCACGAAGCCCAAAACCACTTCTAATCCTCCATATGGCCGGCCACCTAGAGTGATGAGGCCCATTATGGGCCTTGTCCTCTAATGCTCGATCTAGCCCCTTTGTGTGACCTTATAGGATCCGTCCAATTGGGCTTTTCCAAAGATCGTTAGTACCTCTAGCTATGGCAAAACGACGACCCAAATGTACGAACTTAATTATCTCCATAATTTGATCCATTTATATATCTAGTTATTGCACACGATGAAGACATAACTCCTTCAATCTCCCACTTGTCTGAGACAAGGGTGCAATATTCAAATTCCTTAAGTCAATATATGTGTTGATTTGATAATATGATTGCATCACATGTCGAGATCATATTAATCTACAAATCGTTTCTTGAAATCTGAGTTAGAATTACAAAACCAAATGATTACTGTGTAATGCATTTGAACGCGACCACGTATTTTCTGAATTCTCCCTCTTCAAGCGGCCATGACACATTTCCTAATTTAATAGGTAGACTCTATCCAATCTTGTGGCAACATGACTCCCACTCAACTTCTGAAATAACCAGAAAACACCCTTTATAATCTCCAGTTACGGCTAGACATTTGAGTGTACCACAGTCACACACTAGTAGAAAATACGTAATGGCAAGCGGTTCAAACCCCCTAATGGGAAGCGGTTCTGAACCGCATGCCTTTAGGGGGCTTGCCAATTGGTCTTTTAAATGGCAAGCGGTTCAGAACCGCTTGCCAATTGTAGTGAAAAGGCAGCGATTTTGGCGCCAAACCGCTGCCCATTAAGGGTATTAAAAATAATTTTTTTTTTGGTTTTTTTCAATTAAATTGATACATAATCAAACCATATATAAAAACATTAATATTTTTATTAATTAATTGTTATAATATTACAATTTTTTATTTTCAATCACAAAAAAAAAATAACAAAAAAATTAATAATAATTACAATTTATGATTTTCAACCACTAAACACCACCAGCCACCACCAACCATCACCAGTCACAACCCTACGCCACCAACCAACAACCACCAGCCAGGCAGCCACCACCCCACACCACCAGCACCACGACCCCCACCCAAAAAAAAAAACCCTCACCGAAACCACAACCCCCAGCCACCCACCCACCAGGACCCCCACCCAAACCACGACCCCCACCCATAAAAAAAACCCCCTCACCGAAACCCACAACCCCCAGCCACCCACCCACCACGACCCCAACCCATCAAAAAACCCCTCATCAAAACCCACAACCCCCAACCACCCACCCACCACGACAACCTCCCACACAAACCACGACCCCCACCCATCAAAAAAACCCCTCACCGAAACCCACAACCCCCAGCCACCCACCCACCATGACGACCTCCCACCCAAACCACGACCCTGCCCATAAAAAAAAACCCCTCACCGAAACCCACAACCCCCAGCCACCCACCCACCACAACGATCTCCCACCCAAACCACGACCCCCACCCATCAAAAAAACCCCTCACCAAAACCCACAACCCCAGCCACCCACCCACCACGACCCCCCCCCCAAAACCAGATCCCCACCCACCAAAAAACCCCTCACCGAAACCACACACGACCCCACCCACCAAACCAGATCCCCACCCAAACCACGACCTCCACCCACGACCTTAACCCAAACCACGACCCCCACCCACTAAAACCAGCCACCCACCCACCACGACCCCCACCAAAAATCAAATTAAAATAAAAAATAAAACTAAAATCGAAATAAAAATAAAAAAACATCGATCTAACCCATCACGACCATCTAACCCGCCGATTTTGGCTTCAAATTATGTTTTTAAAGGTCAAATTCGACCATAAAACTCTAGATCTAGAGTTTTCATGGTCGAATTTGACCTAAAAAACTTACACCTACATGCATGCACGAATTTGCTCGGAATCGTTCGAAATTTGGTTGAAATTATCCTCAAAATTTGCTCAAAATAATTACCCGGTTATGGTTCGAATTTGATGAGA